TGCAGGAGATCGAGGCTTGCTGGAGGGTGGGCCAGGCTCGGTCCTGGGTCCCGAGAGGCATGGCGAACAGGGACTCGCTTGTCTCGTCTTGAGTAGAGAAGACAAAAGACAGAGCCTTCTCTTGTTTGCAAAAGAGTGAGACCTTTAATGTGCACGTTGTTGAGTGGATCTGTGTGTCCTAGTGTGCTGTTGTGCGCTCGCACAGGGAAACCTGCGACTGGGACTGACATCTCTATGCTTGTTGTTGTTGTGTGTCATTGCATCATTGCGTGTCATTGTGTGCTGTTGTGCAGATGAGCTGTGCGCCAGCATTGTGCGTTCGCACAGGGAGACCTGCCAGTACCGTGTGGAGGATCTGCAGGCCCTGCGCTACAAGGTCTTCAGCGGGGAGGAGGTGCTGGCCTACCAGAGGAAGGTGAGGCCAGTGAGCGCGATCGTCCTGAGTACCGGCTCCGTCCGCGGAGGTCACTGTCCCTCGGGCACTGGGGGCTCCGAGAGAGACACACAGGGACTAACAGCCCCATGTCCTTTTCTCCCTCTCTGTTCCTCTAACCTCTCTGTCCTCCTGTGCCCCTGTCCCTGTCTTTCCCTTGTCCCTCTTTGCCCACCTGTCCTTTTTTGTCCCCTCTCTGTGCCTGTCTGTCCCCCTGTCCCTCTCTGTCCCCTGTCTCTCTCTGTTCCTGTCTGTGCCCCTGTCCCTCTCTGTTCCTGTCTGTCCCCCTGTCCCTCTCTGTGCCCCTGTCCCTCTCTGTCCCCTGTCTCTCTCTGTTCCTGTCTGTGCCCCTGTCCCTGTCTGTCCCCGTCTGTCCCTGTCTGTCCAGTCGGTGGAGGAGATGTGGGAGCGCTGTGCTTGCCGGCTGACTGATGCCATTCAGTACGTGGTGGAGTTCGCCAAGCGGGTGGATGGCTTCCTGGACCTCTGCCAGAACGACCAGATCGTGCTGCTGAAAGCAGGTGAGCGAGGGAGTCGGTCAGACCGACCCGCCCGTCCCGTATTGGACCGGTACCGCTGTGTGCTGCACAGAGCTGTCCACACCCCCCCTCACCCTCCCTCTCTGCCGCCCAGGCTCCATGGAGGTGGTTCTGATCCGGATGAGCCGGGTGTTTAATCCAGAGAACAGCACCGTGTTCTTCGAAGGGAAGTACGCTGGGAGTGAAGTCTTCAAGTCGCTGGGTGAGATACACACTGATACACACACACACACAACTTACACACACACACTGATACACACACACACACACTGACACCCTGATACACACACTGATACCCACACACACAC